AATTGGTAAGCTTTTGTAACAAGGACCGTTGATACGGTGATTCATGCCCTACACACTATTATCGTGAGTTTCGAGCGGGGGAAAAAAGTCTAACGAATACAACTGAAACGTGGCTTTTTGCAAGCCACTTAAGCTTTCGCTTGGGGCAAGATTTGGCCAGAACTCGACACACATCCTCAACCCCTTTGTTTGGGATAATTAAAGCTATACCTTGATTTGTTGAGCTTGCCTCCTCTTGAAACTGGCGGAGAGTGTTGTCAATTTGTCACAACGTTGGGACGCAAATTTACAACCAAAATTGGGTGCGATGCTAACAGAGTGTTGCAGTTTTGCCCAGCCCTTTTCGCCCACAATACCTCTTTGTCGTCAGAACAATGAAACAGAAAATTTACTTCTTTCTGGTGCAATTCATAACACGCTCGTTTGGCTTTGTGTTCGCGATGACAATGCTTCACAAAAGCTCCACCACTGCCTATTGTTTCGCTTGGCCGGACCCACAAAGCTAACGGCGCCCCAGGGTTCTCGGGCAATTTCACCAATTCTGAGTCGCATCTTTGGCCCCGAGATCCCGCCGAGGCTTAACGCGCGGGGAGCCGCACGGCGCGGAATTGTGTGGGCGAGGCCCGATTCTCTCACCTTTTGTTTCATCAGTCCGGCACCTAGAGCCGGCCTCACACATCGCGCGGAAAGCTCAGCCATAAATTTCTGGGCAATGGAATCGACAGCCTGGCCTCTGATGATTAATACAATTCAGTTCGAAATTCTCAAGGTTTGAGACTCTTGCTACCAACTGAATCCTCATCTTCTGCCGGAAATACGTCTTAGAAAAGGACGAGGGCAAAACTATACTCCCAAGCGTTGAGGCGAATTTGCGGAAAAGGGCTTTGCCGATCCGCTCCTCCGCGTTAAAGTATATTCTCCAGCACACGACCTATTCTCGGGATCTAGACCCCTCCTTAGAGCTGGTTCTGTATATTGATACGCGCTTGTGCGGACAGGTTTACCTACATTCTGCATACACAGCTGATCTCATATTAGGTGCGTTAATGTCGTGTCGATTCAGCATCTCGTTTAAAACACGAGTTCACGACTCACACGAGCATAGGGATGACAAGTCCTTCAATCTGCGTAAGACCGCGAATGTATTGTCAATAGTTGACGGGCCTTGACGCGCTTTGACTCATGATTGGAGCTAGATCACCGGACGCGATATGAGTATCTTTAGGGGCCCCGCATCGAAAGTTCTCCCGCTAACTATATGATGGCGAGCGCATAATACCTGGTTCCTGTCGCTCATGAGTATTGCTCAAGTTTTCACCTACTCTAATGCAAAAAAATGATGTCATTGAGGCCACTCTTTGATATGGGTTAAAATTTGCCACAAGGTGCAAAACGGTTGCCGGGTCGCAGAAAAAAAGCCGTTGCCCTGCGCGAATTTGCGGGTCTAGAGCGGCTAGTGTTGCGAAAGGCAGAACTGAATGCACGACAGTGAATCTTCAAAAGGCGTGTTTCCGCCTAACGCCGGTCTTTTTTTTATTCCTTGTGCGTTCCAGGGGCCGAGTATTGATGTTTTTTTTTTTTTTTTTGCTCATGCGAATACGCGAAATCTCTTTTTGATGCTTCACTTGTGCATCGCAAGCCGACAACATCCGAGGAAGTAAACTGGGTTAACGTTTACATCAGACGTAATTAACGCACACAGACTAAAGTCGTGCTCAACCAGTGGGTGATGTACGCCACTATAACGTCCGTCCTCCTGAAAATTGCTATAAACTTTTGCAAATCTCTCGTCAAAGACTACAAGCCACAGTTTTGTGCGTTTACAAAATATCTATATCAGTTTGTTCATTCTTTCTTTATGCCGCTAGCCAAAGCATTTGCAGAAGTCAGGCACTTTATTTGGTACTCACTCTGACGTTGATAAAACATGTTGGCAAGCTATTGTAGTCACACAGAATGTGTGTCCTTGCGAGAATGGTGAACATCACCCGCAGTTTCTTCAAACAATGTGCTCATGAAAAAACGAATCCAATAAGTAGTCAAATGATATACGGTGAGCAAAATGTGAAAGCCACAAAACTGAACCAAGCTCTTTACGAAAGTATAGAATTATAGGATACCCTAGCCAGCTTCACTGCCATGCACTCTAGTTCATGTTTGGCGTGGCGATATGCCTTTTTTTCTTTTGCTTGATACATCTTCTTAATAAGAATCAATATTCAATTGATTGCATAGTCAAACTCACTGGTTATTGGCAGAGAATATTAATAAATGAAAATTTTTACGAAAGTTTGGGTGTGGCTTGGAAGCCAAGTGAATTTTTCTTTTTCGACGCGAAAATCAAGGCTGTCCTCATATTTAAAAATTTGAAAACGATTCTAAAAAATATATGCAGATAGCGTCTTGAAACAATTACTGCCTCATATTCATCTAAAAGATTGAGAAAATAAGAAAAAGTTGTGAAAATCATTTTGTCCCCCTTAATTAGTGCATTATAGCGGGGTCACATAGATCATCTACTGATTTACATGAATTATATAGGCTGCAGGCATGCCTAAGGTTTGGGGAATCTTGTAAATGAGATCATTAACAGCCCAGCTTCGAAGGCTAAGGTTTTTGGAAACACCTTGCAGCAATTAGACTCAGTTTCTTTCTTTTTTTTTTTTTCTTTTTTTAAGAAAAATAAATTTGAAACTTTGGCGATCTATTAGTTGTGAGGTGCCATTGATGATGCCAAAGAACAAAGTTCGGATGCCAATCAAGATTATGTGCTCATGCTCATGACTGAGACACAGTAAGTAAACACCCAAAAACAATGAAATCTTATGAGGCGTATAAGACGTATAATAAGTATAAAATCGAAGACAACGAACCAATTAGAATTACATCTATGCCCTTCATGAATTCTCATCATCATGTGTTCTGTCAAGTTCTTAAGCGTGGGGCTTGGTTCCGATAAACACGAACGAAGAAATCGACAGCTGCTTTCACATTTTCTTCGTCAATAGATTATTGAATGTATAAGAAGCTCTAAAACAAGAGGTGGAAAACGCAATCTTAAATCTTTTTTTTGCCAATTCACACACGCAGTCTCTCTTCAGTGACACTTTCTTCGATACCTGGGCCGAATTTCCATTCGTAGATAGAATATGCGTGTGCAAAGAGCTAAATTGGCCTATAAAGCTCAAGACGCTTTTCAGGGTTAATTCAAGAATGCCAAATAACACGAAACTTGGAAGTTGAACTGACTCCAGTACCCGTTTAAATGAATTAGGTACTATTGTGTAACTGTGGACAGGATGTTTGGAGTTTTGATCAATCAATGAAAATCGTAACCAATCAATGGAAACTGACAACACTGAGCCACCGCATAACAGAGCATTGTTGGACAATTGAGCTGCTGATAAGTCGTTGTCAGGTGACATACTCGTGCCCATACACCACCCCAGTTTGTCTGTCAGGGTTCGAAAACCCACCTCCTTCTTCAATACTGAATGATACTTCAGCTTTGATTGAATGAAAACCCGCTAATATCACACGATATCTTGTTGCTGTTTGTCACTTTTTTTTAAAGAATTTTTTTTTTTTTTTTTAAAGATATATCACATTATAGGACGCTCTCGCTAAAGTATGACAGGCATACCCAAACAAGCGCAAAAACTATACAACATATAGAAAAAACCTATAATAGATCGCAACTTCACCCCAGGCATCGTTTGCCGACACGAGGTCCCTCATCGGAAATGAATCCGCTTTGAGACCTCTACCCAGGATGAACTCAACTAATCAGACTCAACAGACTGTCATCGGCCCATGGGGTTGGTCCTCCCTAGAGCGCGAGACAATAGTCGATTCAGGAGGGGGGCGAGACTAACACCATTCTCCGCCTCCCTGCGCCGTCCTGAATACGCCTTACGTACCACTTTCACAAACCAATTGAGGTTGCGCAAGTTTGTGAACGCTTTATCAGTAGGTGCAAGCATTTCTCTCAAGTTCATTGGCCTCGGAAAGCCTAGTTTGTTCCACCAGTATCTGGAGCATGTACACTCATTGTAGAGGTGAGCTAACATAGCCTTTGAAGATACTGTTTCTAAACACAAGAGACATTCCATGTCCCTTCCAACCTTCGGTGCATCGTGTATGGGCACATAGGACCCGTAGTTAAAGTGATGAAGCGCTGTTAAGTCATTTCTTAAGAGCCACTCCTGCTTGTACATCTCTTTCCAGAACTTTTTCCAGCGTTGCGGCTTTCTGGCTTCCCGGCATATTTCCAAAAATCTCCTTGGCCGAACCACTGGGGCTTTCTCTTTGCTTTTCTTACTCAACGATCGGAATGCATCGGCCCTCAACCCACCTGCTTCCTCGTTGGAAATCTGGAATTTTCCTTGTGTCTCTCCGATACTTATTGCTTGTTTCACTTGTTCCAGGATCGCACCGGTTTCCATGAACCCTACCCTTTCAGGCCGGGTCACCACCCGTGTACCAGGTACAGTCTTTTGCCAGGCTTCTAGATACATTCTCTCACTATGCGTGAACGTCCAGTCGAGGTTTTTGAAGTACATCCGCTCTGTGTCGAGCAAAAATTCAAGCCAGCTCAATCCTTCTATTCGAAAGAAACAAATCGTATAGCAGAATCAACAGGCTCGTGTAGCATTGCATTATGATTTTTGGCCCACAAATCAACAAATCGGAAGATAGACTTGGCCGGGTTACTGTGAGTATCAATTGAATAGCCGCGAATCGTATTCACAGGAAAACGCCGGTAAAAGGTCAATCTAACCGTCATTGTGCCGTTTTCTTCAATTGCCTTTGTTCTATGGAGCTGATTGTGATCATATCAGAATCAGAAATAGTTGGAAATCAGGTCGTACGAAGTTCAAAAACGGTGAGATTAAAAAAAAAAACAATTTTAGGCGGGTTGAGGACAAATTTGGGTCTCCGAACAACGAAGAAACATTCTGCCTACTATGAATGTTCAAAAATAATTAACGTTCAATCCGGGTCCCTTGGCCAAGTCGGTTACGGCGTGGTGCTAATAAATTTCTATAAACGCCAAGATCAGCGGTTCGATCCCGCTAGGGACCAGGATTTTCCAGGGCGTATGGCGCAGTTGGTAGCGCGTTCCCTTAGCATGGGAAAGGTCTCCGGTTCGAATCCGGATTCGTCCAGTATCTTTTTGCTTCGCAATTTGGTTTTTTTCTATTGCACATTATACTCTATTTTCATCTACAAGCTCTTCACAGTTGGAACTTTATTCCATTATGTTTTTTTTTTTTTTTGATCATGGCGTTGCTGCTTGTAAATACCAGGTTTGTTTGAAGTGTCTGGCACAACGTAGCCTCTGATGGAATATAACGCCCGAGAATCGTAAGCTTCACAAGAGCTTCGTTTTTGGTAAAAAAAAAATACAGCATGGAAGGTTGCAATGGTGTAATTATATCAAAAACAAAGTCAAAGGCAAAAAGGAGTTAATTTGGGCCCACAGGCACTCAAAATGATTCAACTTAAGACTGCTGGCGAATGAGACCATCGAATACTTACGCAAAAGATCTGGTGGATAATAGAAATGAGTATACTTGAGAAAAAACCTTTATCAAATGTGAGGCGTTGCTGACTTACTCTTCGTACTTACTTGGTGGAAATATCTAGACCACTGTCGCAGGAGCAAATGCAGTCACTTAATGAAAGAGCTGACAGACAAAGTTTGTCGGTGAATTTAGAAATAAACGGCCTTTATTTACTCGACTGGTTTATTCTAGTCACTAGAAGTCAGATATAATACAAAGCGTGCTTTTCTTTTTATGCATCGTGTATGCAGCGGGTATAGGACATCTATCACTTTTGATCACAACAAGAGCAGCCTTGTTTAACATCGGTCAACAGTTATTGCACAAAAAAAAGAGGAAATCATTCATTGATTCTTCTTTCACGAAGCGATATTTTTCTATTTGTTGCCTAATTTGGCCCGAAGATACGCCCAATAGTTTTTCCTGATGGGATCATATGTGGAAGAAAGGGCCTCGTATATGCCATCTGCCTTTGAAGTGTTTCCTTCCAAAATTGCGATTTTCGCAAGCATTTCCAACGCAAAGGAGCTGGAAATCACCTTGGACTGAAGATCTCCATAAACAAGGCAGAAATCCTTGAACTCGACTAAACTCTTGCCTGTCTCACTGATTATGCCACTTAGGTAGTTCCACGTCGAAGGATTCTGTGGACACAAGTCTATCTGCAGTTTCACATACTCAATTTCCTCCTGGATATCTTTTTCCAGAATGTTTCCGCCTTTGAATTTCAAGAAAAACCGGTGTGTCCAAGCACTATTGTTTCTCGCATCTGTTTCGATAAGTTTTGTGGTAAAAGTCAATTCGGCCTCGTCGTTGTGGAGGCCAAATCTTTCAACAAACCATTTTCGGTACGACCATACGTGATGGTTTTTCGGGTCCTGCTGAAGCATCATGTCCAAAATCGGGTGTTCTCTTTTATGCTGGAATTTGTCTGCTAAATCTGCGTTTTGCATGATTTCCTCAATAATTCGCTGCCTGTAGTTCCAAATCTGGTAGTTTTTCTGGTTTTCCAATGCAATTTCTTCGCACCAGTCCAACTCTTCAAAAAGATCTTTCTGCAAATGCTTCACAATGTCAAAACGATAGTGCCAAGTCGTGTAGTGAGATGCAAGAAGATCTAGCGCCTTTTCCGTGAGCAAAAGCGCTTCTTCTGTGTATAATTTTTGCTCTAGCAGGCTCCGAAGTGCGCTCATGGTGGAGCTATACTCCTCAGAATAAAGAATCTGGCACAATTCCGTCATTGTGTGTGTTTATGATAGGTTGTGATTGGTGAATGTGCGTTTATGCACGATGATAGATGTATGTGAGTAACTTTCGCAGGCACTGAGTGCGAACAGAGAAATCCGGAAATAAAGATGAAATTTCGACCTGAAGTTTGACGCTACTAAAAACGACTTTGTTTGCGAGGTGTTTCATCCATGAATGTGGTTTGTGTGCCTTTTATACGTACATCACCGAATGGAAACAAAAACCTGAGGTTTGGTTTCAGTTTAGAGAAGTTATTACCGCATTCGGCCGCGACAATGTAGGCTGTTTCACACCCCACATAAGGTGAAACGAGTTGCTTCTTTAGGAGGGGGGTATTATTTTTTTCATGTCTTCATTTGCGACGCAAATAGATGATGATTCTAGAAAGAGAGCCTTAAAATGTATCATTCTCTTCATTCTTCCCTGCTTAAGTAGTCACCTGGTCATAGTCACCTAAGAGAGTAGTCACGTGATGAACTGCCTCTTATTAAAGTAGACCCACCGAAAAATGTGCCAGATAAATTTGAGCTTTTTTCACCCAATTTCACGCAGTAGAAGATCTGAGCATTTAAAACGGATTGAATCAAAAAGTTAGGATTATATCAGTTGACAACAACTGAAATACTGTCGTAGCTAACTGCTGGCACTTACCGCACTAAGGGCCAACCACAAGAAGTCTCGAAGGTGCATGCAAATGGCGGCAACCAATAAAATAGATATGCATGCATTAACGAAAACTATGAATTATGTTTTATTCACGACTAACTGAGTATCAAATTCGTATTTTTCCCTTTTTTCAATCGTGTTCTGGTGAAAAGTACTCAAACTGATTCAATACTACGCGCACCGGCAGCCGGCCTCATCTCCGATTCCATAACCACTATATGCTAAATGGTGGACGCGGCGAGCGCAAAAAAACATAGACTCCAAGAATCTGGCACGTCAATTTTTTATACAGATTTTTGCATGCTGTTCAAATGGATTCTTCAATTCCGGACTCCTCGCTCGTGCTTCTTTCGCTCACGTCATCTGCAGCGGTGTATATAATTCTCGGTCTCTTTTGCGCTCCGGGATCGCCATTACCAGTATTAGCTGGGGTGTTTATCTTCTCTAACATGCTTTCTCGCACGGCAACTTTTCAAGGATTTGCTAGAAGAACGTATTACCAGACTCAGAGACGGCAATTTGGCTTTTTCAGACCGAAAATCGAGCCAGAAATTGACCAAAATGGGCCTTTTTCGGCATTGGGTGATATCTCTCGCACAGAGCTTCTAGAAGCATTAGTATCGCTTCGAGAATATGCGTCCAACTCGAAAAAAGCCAATGAAAGAAGACGGAAATTGTTTAAAATGATGCTGTGGCGCCAGCAGAAACTCTGCGACGAGGCCGGATACCTGGAAAAGCTCAAAAAAGTGGATTTCCATATTGGCAAAAACCAGGCTATTTTCGATGCCATTGTGAGCGCAACGGACAAGAGTTACGCTCTCACAGATAGCCATTACGACACGCTAAGACGGAAGAACGTGCGGTCACAAAATACATCTTCCTCTAACTATAGAGTTATCGAGTCTCTTGGCCACTTTTTGCGGGACTGGACGGCCCAGGGTGAGGCCGAGATCGCGCCTATGATCCACTACATCCAAACACAGCTCGATTCGGTGATTTCCCCAGAAAATGCTGCAAAAACGTGTATTGTGGTTCCCGGATCGGGCTTGGGCAGAATCGCACATGAAATTGCAACTCATAAAAACTATGGGGCTGTGCATGCAGTGGAATTTAGTGGTCTTATGCATGCATGCAACAAGTTTCTTTATGAGCCATGTACTAAAACGACTCACACAATCTTCCCACACATCCATACAACCTCGAATTTCTTGACGACTGCTGCGCAATTCAGAGAAGCTGCTGTGCCCGCTGGATTATCACAGCCTAGCAATTTGCACCTTCATTTGGATGATTTCCGCTACTTCACCGTACCAGAAAAGGAAAAGTACGAGAATGTCGTGGTTGTTTCCGCCTTTTTCATTGACACAGCGGAGAATATCATCGACTATTTTGATCAAATTGGCCAGCTTACTACTCCGTCCAAGAAAACAATATTGAAAAACGGCTTTTGGATCAATTTTGGTCCCTTAAAATACGGCAGCGCGGCTCAGGCGGAGCTCAATGCGGCGGAAATCGCACACATTCGTAAAAACATGGGCTGGGTAGATATTCACAACTTGAATACCATCGAAGACACATTTAACGAGTTTGCGCAAAGCTCTCTTCCTGGAAGTGGTCTTTCGGGCTATATCACCGATAAGCAGAGCTTGTGGCAGGGTTATTACGGTATTTCGATGTGGACTAGCGGGCACAAGGCCAATAAGGCACAAATCAAGAGGAGGAAATGAAACTTGCTGTGATCTGTGATCTGTGGCGCCAGAAGTCTAGGTTGAAAAAAACAAGTATGATGTTCAATTTTGCACGGATTCACTTGAAAACACTCAAGGACCATGTTTTGAGTACCTTAGTACGCGCTAATGATCACGAGGATGGTCCACTTTGCGCCTCTGAGAAGGCAATTTTGCTGAGTGGTTCTTGTTATTACTAGCACTGATGTGATAAGGAGATCTAGTGACATTCATAGCAATTCTGGCATCTGAGCCACTTCCTCATACTTGCTTCGGAACGCCAAAAACGAGGGGCTACTTTTTTTTGTGGGTTCTCGAGGGAAATTGCCCTCATATATGATCGACCATTCTGGAATAGTGAGTGATTATTACTACTTTGAGCGATTCGATACATGAGAATGCTTGCAAAAGCTGGTTGTCTGGCAATGAGAGGGAAATCTGTTCAGTTGTGTGATCCATTATAATTGATTTCTGGAAAGATTCAACTCTCGAAAAGTTTGCTATATCGAGAATAAGAGGGTCCTCCTCCAAAATGATATTTGGCCTGCGATATATTGTTTCATGCCACTTCGCCCTGAAGCAATACGCATCAGGCATTAAGACTTGTGGTGAGTTGCACCTATAGGAAGAACGGCAGATACCATTATAGTTCGATTTGGTAGTGTGGGCAATCGAGATATCATAGATTGAGCATTAATTTCTAACGACCGACAACAATGGATGACACGTGAGAGATGGAAGTTGGAGATTCGAACGTATTCTAATAATTTGAGTACTCCAATTGGGCTACTGATCTAACTGTATGTTTTGCCTGTGAGCAATCACGTATTTTCACTCCTAAATCGAAAAAATGCATGATTTTACTCGCTTCGAATAT